ACTTTTAAATTAACTATACTAGCAAAATCACAACTCAAAGACATATGGTTAGGGTATAGGGTATAAGTTATGTGGTTAGTGTATAATGTATTGATGGTTTAGGGTATACAATCAACAACATATACTAACTTAATATTGTTGATTGAGGGTAAGGCTAAGTGTATAGGATATATGTTATTGAGTAAGTTATGATTGAAGTAACAATAATTTTACTAAATTTGATAGCTAATCTTTAATGGTTCAATTTTTAGGATAATTTGAACAATTTTACAAATGACTCGTTTGGCAACAGTTTACTGAAGTTATTTGGGCAATGAGTTATTTCGAAATAACTCCTTTTATCACTATGCTTTTGCCAAATACCACACACCAAATACCAGATTTGCATGGTTATACTAAATGAGATACTTTAATCCAATTACTACTGAATTAATACTAAAATATCAAATAAACAATTAATGTTGTCTTTTGGTTGCAAATATTGATATCACCATTACTATTAGCTATAATACTTTACCAATTATGATTAATTACATAACAAGTTTGCAAGTCATACAAATTGATTTAACATTTTGACTAGTTTTTTTCAAAAAAATAAAGTATATATATACGAGGTAGAAATAAATTGGTTAAAAAGTTGAGAAAATATTTTAAATTAGTGTAATAAAATGTGTAAGTTGGTAATGAGTAATGAGTTAAGTTACTTGATGCGCTGGCCCGAACAACCCGAAACCCGATCCGCCCGCAACCCGCCCGATCCAAAACCCGATAAACACGCAACCCGATTTGCCCGCAACCCGATTGAACCCGAACCCGATGAACCCGCAACCCGACTAACCCGCAACCCGTTTGAACCCGAACCCGAACCCGATGAACCCGCAACCTGACTAACCCGCAACCCGTTTGAACCCGAACCCGATTGAACCCAGCCCGAACCCGCCCGATTGACACCTATAGTTTTAATAGGGCCTTGTGAGATATTTCAAATTATTGTGATCCTATTATCCCTATATATTTTCCATAGATATGAAGATTTTTACATGTCTCTTGGACAAATTTGCTAATGCTGGTTGTTTTCCCTACCATCCTATATTTTCCCTGATGACCTTCTGGTATTTACTTATGCTTCAAATTATGGGATCCAAGAGTTGCATAGGATACTGAATCAATTCAAAAAGATTTTTGAAATTCAAACCCTAGTAAATGTGAGATTTACTTTGGAGGGTTTGAATAGGAGAAAGTAAAGAGAGATGCTCTATATGTATATCAATTAGGAGCATTCCCTGTAAGATACTTGGGTTTCCCACTCATATCTTGAAAACTATGTTGGCTGCTTGCCAACTTCTTATTGATAAACTTGTCGTAGAAGTTAAAATTTGGCAAGCAAAGTCTTTCTCTTATGCATGCATGATTGAGTTAGTTGGGAGTGTTCTGTACAGTTTGGCGCAAATATATAGATTATTTTTCCTTCTCCCTAAAACATTGATCCGAGAAGTAGAAAAGATATGTAGTGATTTGGTTTGGGTAGTTAAAACATGAGCTAAACTTAGAGCTAATCTTGTCTGGAAGAAGCTTATCTTCCCCAAAAAAGGTGGCCCTGGAATTTAGGAATATGATCACTTGGAATGTTGCATGTATGGTGAGACATATATGGATGATCCTACTACAACAAGGTTCCCTTTGGGTGTCATGGGTTGGAGGTTACAAACTAAAAGGAAGGGATTTATGCACTTATTTCTGTGGTTCTGGTTCCTGGAATTGGAGGCAAATCCTCAAATTCCATCCTTTTGTTTGTGTTAGAAACACGTTTTCTAAGGAAAACGAGTTTCTATATCATTATCATTATTGTTAGGTTTTATTAGATATGGTTAGTAGTCTTCTAGTAGAATTAGGTTTATTCTTAGGGTTTTCTAGTATTTCCCTATATATATGTACTTTGGGTCATTCGTCATATTAAGCAGAAGTTAATAAAAGAATTATCTATTTAATCCCTCTTTCTATCCTCTCAATTCTTGACCTCAATCCCTCTAAAGGCTTAAGCCGATTCTCTTCTATTCTCCCCCAATTCTTCTTCCAAATCCCTAATTCTATCTTCTCAATCCCTAAATTCCCAAATATCACCCAATACGAATCCTGTTAGAAACTTTGTTTCTAACATCTGGTATCAGAGCCTGGTTCCGAAAGACGAGTTTATCACAACTCTCTCAGGGACAGTTCCTACCAGATCAAATGCAGATGAGTTCAACTGATATATCAGAGCTGACGTGGGCTCAGAAGCAAGAAAAGATGTGGCAGATTGTGGGCTATTGGAAGGAGAGAGCGGTGCGCGGCGCCGCGGCGGGGAAGGAAGACAAGTGCGCAGCAGGGGCGGAGCTGGCGCCGCTCGACGAGGCTGTCCGAGGCGGGGCGGAGGCCGCGCGGCACGCTTCGACGTCCAAAGCAGCAGACGGCGGCGCGGGGAACGGCTCGCTCGACGGGGCTGGCCGAGGCGGGGAGGAGGCGGCGCTACGCGCGGCGGCGCGGAAGGCAGGGACGGCGAGAGCAGGCGGCGACATTGCTTCCTTACGCTCAAACCCTAGGGTGGCCTCCAACCGCGTAACACCACAGCAGCAACTATTTTCGTTGGGCCGAAACCTCCGGGCCACAGGTCTGAAGAGGCAAAAGGGAGTGGGCCTAGGAGAGGAGATGGGACCCATCTTCCTTGGTCATAGGTTGGGCCGCATGAAGAGAGGTGTTGGGCTCTCCTTGCTGCGAAAACAACAGCAGCAGCAGGCCACATCATTGGGCCGAGCAGAGCGACGGGGCGGGCTAGCACGAACCGCCCTGGACTGCGTACGCACAAACAAGCAGAGAGACTCCATAATGAAGATGAGCCTCATATAAGCCCTATGGAATCTCTTTTACAAAGTGTAGGCTTGAATATGAAGAAAGAAGAATTTGTGGGCTTAGGTGAGCACCCCAATTCTTACTTGGTGGTTTATGAAAAGGGGGGTGGACAGTCAATAGGACATGCTTACGACGCGAACCACATGGATAAGGAAGAAGTCATTGGAGTTGGAGTTGTTGGCGTGAGATACGTTCGAGTAGTAGAACATATTTGGAAGAAAAGAAAGCGCAAGAAATGGAGGCAAGACGTGGATTGCACGGTAGACATGAAGAAATGGATTGAGTTGATCAACCTTGAGGGCAAGGTTGGTTTCAAGGGGGATCGGATGTTAGAAACACGTTTTCTAAGGAAAACGGGTTTCTATATCATTATCATTATTGTTAGGTTTTATTAAATATGGTTAGTAGTCTTCTAGTAGAATTAGGTTTATTCTTAGGGTTTTCTAGTATTTCCCTATATATATGTACTTTGGGTCATTCGTCATATCAAGCAGAAGTTAATAAAAGAATTATCTCTTTAATCCCTCTCTCTATCCTCTCAATTCTTGACCTCAATCCCTCTAAAGGCTTAAGCCGATTCTCTTCTATTCTCCCCCAATTATTCTTCCAAATTCCTAATTCTATCTTCTCAATCCCTAAATTCCCAAATATCACCCAATACGAATCCCGTTAGAAACTTTGTTTCTAACAGTTTGTCACTTGTTCTCTGTGAGCAATGGACAGGTTTATTGGAATGCCTCTCTAATGTTTATGTATTCTATAAAGCGTGTTTGTGAGGTAATCAGACCTAGACAAGCGTGAGTCCCTTGGGTGAAGGTTGTTTGGAAAGGAAATGCTATTCCTCAGAATAGAGTCCTAACATGGCTGGTTATTCATGGAAGTATATATACAAAATAAAGTTTTTTTGTATTGGGGCTATACAGGACCACTTCATTGTTTCTTTTGTAATGTTGGGCTGGAGACTGGGAAGCATTTGTTTACATCTTGTTGGATTACTAAGAAGCCGTTTATTGAGCTCTTTAGCATGTTTGCACAACATGTTCCAGCTCCTAGCTGGAAGGCTGAGGTTGACTAGGTAATTTATGACAAAAGGGCAACATTAAGATTGGAAGGTAACTAGAGAAAAAACAATTCATTGACAAATGATTAGGGGGAATAGAGTCATTTTGATACCAAACAATTTATCCAAAAGCCTCAAAGCAAAGCAACTCTATGAGACCTACTTGCCTCTATCTCCTAATTTGGTTATCCTACTCACATCTCATTTTGTGAGATGGCCTTCCACATCCCACCAACTAATTTGGAGGGTTGGGATTTCTTGATTTTGGAAAGGAATTGGGTAAGAAAAGAGAAGAGGAGCCACACACTTTTTAAGAAGGTAATCCCATAATCTAATTGACATTTAATGTCCACTCACTTTTCTCATTCTCCCCCCCCCCCCCCCCCCCTCTTTTCCTCTCTTGATCTTAGAGATGAGAATACTAGTTCAGATATTCAGAATACTTCTTTAGCGTGTTTGAATACTTGTTTGACGTCTATTAATACGTGATCATTTGTGTGGAATATTTCTTCATCTTAGAGATGATAATACTAGTTCGACAAATTTGAATATTTGTTCGCTTTGAACACTGTGTCAATGCTTTTAAATAATCGTTCGACACCTAATAATACTTATTCATAGGGGTCGAACAAGTGCTACCACTACCATTTGGCAACTGGTAGTGGTAGCGTATCACTACCATATGTGCGCTACCACTACCAGCTACCAAATGGTAGTGGTAGCACTATACTGGTGGCATAGCACTCGAAAAAATCACTACCACTGGACTAATGGATTTATATATTTTTCCAGGTATCAGATAGAGTCTGCCAGAGAGATTTCGTCGGATCTGCCAGTCGGAGCTGAGTGACTAATGAAAAAAGAAAAGAAAGATACATGTATTTATTTATTTTTTTGGTGATATATACATGTATTTAATGTTAAAAAAACATGTATTTAAAATGAATTTTTAATTCTCAACACGCAATTAATAAAAGAATTAATTAATATATTTTTTTTTTCATACTCAAATTACCGTTGGTTGTGAAACTCACAATCCTAGGGGAAGTGATGCTATCCAACCCCTACACTATGTTGTTGTATTACGCATTTTACGGACACAAAAAAAACGGATACGGTTCACAACCAACCATATAATAACAGCCTGCATTCGACGGTCACAATTTTAAGAGATTGCTTCCCTTCCAGCCAGCCCGACCCCGAACCCATAAAGGCAATCCAGGCCAACATCACAATCTCAGCAACCAACCAACTAAAAAGCCAACCAACATATGTGTATTTAGAGGCAGGCACATGAGGAAGAACCCCACCATGTGCAGCCAGTTTCCCTTTCTCCTTTGTGCCAAACAGCTAGCACAAAGCAATCGGAAACCATCTATCTGGAATGGATCTTCCTTCTCTAGTTAAAAAGTCAGTGCTATGAGTCATGACAAACAACATGTAGCAGCCCTCCTGCTGTCACCACAACAGAACAGAACAGAAAAGAATGTAAAAGGCTCTCAGCTCCCAGCCAAAAAAGAAGCAACTAGCACGACGATTGTGTTGTGTGGCGGCCGTTTGAGAATCCGTATTTCCCGAGCAGCCCCTGTAATGTAATCAACCAAGGATGCAAACGTCAGGCTGCTACTGTATCTAATCCGCAAAAGCAGTGTGCTTCCTCTTCCTCTGACCCTATCTCATTACGTCAGAAACAGAGCACCACATTTTGGAATCATTTCACTACCGCTTTTTATCAACTGGGTGGAGGATCATTTATCAATCAAACGAATCTTTGATTTATATCACAATTCGGCCCCTCCACTTCACTATCGGAAGTTGAAGAGATTATGAACTCACTAGTCAATCACCATAAAGATGGTTGGTTAATTGAAGTAAGTGAAGGTAAGGACTCAAGTCGACATTTGAGGAGAGCCCAATAACTCACAAATATTTTTAATGACATCCACCTAGTTTCAACTGAAATTACACAGATAACACTACCTCACTACTCAGATTAAGGTGTAGGTTAAAAGGTGAAAGGCAAGTAGAGTCATACCATGGAATCATTGATTGCAATGGCCACACAGTAGTGCTCCTGAAAAACAAAACAGCATCCAGGACAAGAAGCATCAACGCATTTGACACAGCACAGCTATCAACCACCCTAGAAAAAGCCTGATTACGAAACGCTGCAAGATGGGAATTCTTTTCGATTTTGACATATATTATTATTATTATTATTATTATTATTATTATTATTATCATTATTATTATTATTATTCGAAAAGAATCTATATGATACTTTTCACGCCCTGCTACCTAAACATAAGACAAATAAGGATAAAAAACACAGAGGAGGAAGGCTACAGTAGTTGGCTTGCCTGCATCATGTGCCATTCTTCAAACTCGTCGAATAGCTCCAGCCGTTCGATCCTAATAACCAAAACATGGAAGATGAGAGAAACTCAAAAAGACAATATTTCGGATAATGATCAAGGCAATCAGGAAATACTTTCAAAGTCTTTATGCCTTAGAAACCCAAGACCCCCATGAACTGCATATGCATTGCAAACAATCTAAGGGGAAAAACACTTGCATATGCAAACAAACTACTGCAACCTGATACTAATGTCAACTAACCCAGCTCTTGCAACTACTATGGCATCCTGGTTACAGATTTTTCTCCAACATCTGGACCTCAAAGAAGAAAACGCGAGCACTATGTCACTTCGCAAAACAGTGCAAATAGGTTTCTTGTTTCTAAAATCGAATTATATGAATACTAGTTGCAAAAGCAACGGTGCCATGTTGCTGATTTGCGCAATTGCCAGTCATTACTTTCAGACCCAAAATACACTGAATTTCCATGTTTTACAAAACCATGGAATTTAAAAATGTTGGAATTTGTCTGAATTTCCATTTTTTACAAAACCAAGGAATTGACTTGTGGAAATTGAAAAAAAAATCACGTTTGGATAGGGTTTAGTTTTGTGGGAATTGATGGTGTGGAATTTGAAAAAAGAAGTAAGAAAATGTGGTAATGTTAAATTACTAGGGGGAGGTGTAGTATTCTCAATTACCATAAATGTGGTAATTGAAGCCAATTTCCATGGTCCAATTCCCATACCCTTTTTGCTCTCCCAAACGTGGGGTTTTAACCCAATTACTGAATTATGTGGTAATTTAGTCCAATTACTGCATTATGTGGTAATTGAGTCCAATTATTGCATTACATTTCCACATCCAAACGACCCCTGATACTGCTAAACCAAGTATTGTCCAAGCACATCCTAATAAAATATAACTGGCCGGGTTGAACAATAGATGCGTTCGAAAACAACTAGATTTTGAAACATATCAGACACATTCAAGAAACTAACAATTGATGAGCATGAAAAAACCAATTGAACAACTTACCTGCGCTTTTCTGGAACTTCAATGAAATCACTATAAACTTTAAGCATGTCCCAAGCAACAGCTCTCTGGATCCTCATATATAGTGTAAAATGAATGTGAACGTCAGTTTGAGTGAAATTCCAAAAGAAGTAAAAACGAGGCTTAAATGAAGCTACACCTCCTGTAACAAAATCCCACATTAATAGATTGTAACAGCAACATTAGGATATTTTAATTTCCTGTGTCACATCTACGACCTCCCCAAAGATTTAAGATTCCAGGAGCAAATACGAATTTAGGTTTAGACAAACATTTTTTAGGGCACCTCAAGCTGTCTGTGTTAAACCTTGATGCAATTGATTGTACAAAGCCCTGATTTAAATTCTATGATAAGGAATGTCATAGTCAGGTTATAACAAGTATTTCATAGTAATCTGAAAACACATTCTCCTCAAAGCAATAGGAAAATTTTCTGACAACAGATTAAATGACAAGTCAATCCAAAGAGAATCAACATTATACCTGCCATCCCTGTTCGATAAAAAGTCTTTCTTTTGCAAGTAGAGTGGGTGTGGCGTAAATACCCAGTAGTGCACACCCTCGACTCTGAAAGAAGACATTTGCAAGAAGAAACAACAAAGATAAGGTCTACTATAATCACAAAAATATCTGCTCTAGTTCCACTTATGACTTAGTACTGGAAGATGCTACATAGAAAAGTCCAATACTCGACAATTTAGAAGGGGTGCATGTTAAACTTTAGAGAAGATGCAATCAAGAGGTAGTCAGTGAGTGATCAAGCGAAGCAGGCAGAGTAATGGCAAGGTTTTAAGGACAGAAACAACGGAAGCCACCAAATGAATTATACATGAAGCAAACTAGTGAAAATATAAAATAAAAAAGGCAAATTCTAACCTCCAAGTTCCTTATCATTTGCTGGCCAAAAGCATCATCTGGGTGAATCTGAAGAGTAATCATCATAAAGTGTAAACATTACAAGGAATTGGTAAAACATTGTTTGATAAACAAGGACCAGCAAAAATAGAAGAAAAACCAAATGTGAGAACACAGACATTTAGGCTTGGGAAGACTTAGAACCTGCTCATATAGGAAAAAGACAGCTGTTGAAAATGATTTTGAAGCCCAGCCAACTATATCGCGGGTTGAATCTGGATCCAAGTATATCAAAACACATTCTGCAATTATAAATGTTGGCAAGCTGATGAAAGTATCAGCATAGAGCACCTTTAACACTAGCTCAGTATAAAAAATAAAGATCATTGAAGACGAGCTGTTCCACATGTAGCATTCACATAATGTAAATGACACCTTGGCATACCTAGGATCCATATTAGCTGAAGCTATGACATCATCCAGCTTTGGTATGTCACGCAAGTCAACTGGGAGAAGCTTGTAATGATCACCAAGCACTTCCCCTTTCTCTGAAAAGTTAAAGATGCCAACTAGTGAGAAACCAGAAGTGGAAGCAATTTAGGTCACCTTGAAAAGCAAGCCTTTTGCATCGCCTTCATAAAAAAAAAGCAAGTACTTCATCTGTGGAGGATTCATGAGAATCATAATATCCTACAAAGGTAACTCCATTCAAGACACATCAAATATTAGCTCTTGCCTCGAGAAATTGAAGCTGCAGCACCAAGTTTGTCTCGCAGCTGACTTTGGGTTTCAATGATTGCTGCTTTTTTGCTAGTGACCTAGCAAAAGTGTTTCAAATCCGTTGTTAGCTTGTCACAGCCCAAAGGTTTGGCAAGAAGAAGAGAAAGAAATATTTTTTCCTCCATGGACTCAACAACAAGTTTGTGGAAAGATTAAAAAAAAACTCAGTTGAATGTAATGGTCAGAAGAGATAAGAAATCCAGAATTGCACCTCCTTGAAATCCAGCTCCACATACAAAAATGGTGCCTTCCCTTCGTCCTGTCAAAACGCAGTTTAACAACTCCATTTAGACACCAACCTAGTTCACTCTTCATGGCATAGTTAAGTTTAGCAATTTGAAGAAATTTGAAAATGCCACCAATATTAACAACGATTGGAAGAAACCAAACAGCAGTAAACCACATTTCTCAAATTTCAAGAGATTTTGTCCTCAAATGAGGCTGACTGGTCCTTTCCGTGAAAATAAAATATGCTTGTTAAAGTCAGGTGAGTCATGTCTGTCCACCTTGGATATTGCCCAATGTGGAAATGCACATACATCATCAAAGTTAGCAACTACGAGCAGGTAGCAACCCCAACTTAAGTAATTACCACTGACAACCATAGTACCTGCAACTGGAAGTATGTAGTATCAAAGCCTGCTCCAAGTGACAATATCTGCTTCTTCGTCTGACCCTTCTCATTACCATCAATCTCAGAATCGAGAAATTGAAAGAGGAGCTGTCGAAGAGCAGCCCAACGAGCAAAATATCCTGCAAATAAGCAGAAGCAAGCTGGAGACTTGAGTATTTGTTGAAAAGAAACGTTACCGAGTCAAAAATTTAAACCCATACATTGCTTCCAAAATGAAATTATACCACGGTTGATAATTGGAGATCTTCTGACAGGCCTTCTCACAAATGAATGGATATAGTCATCTTTCATGTATCCCTTTTTCACACAGGACCTTCAGATCACCAAAACGAAAGTCAGTGCCCAAACAATTAAGGAAATTCTTAAGACCATAATGCAGTCTTCGTTTGAGCGAACTGTACATAACACTCCTTTATTTAAGAGCTGAAGAAGACCTAGTAAGGAAATACCCTAACAACGCATTATACTCAAATTGTACCGAGAATTTTGAATTGCGAATACCAAACAGGTACAAGAACGGAAAATTTTATCCTGGGCGTGAATTTCTCTTCAAGGCAGTATGGTTTATTCCTATCTCGGAGAACAAACGGAAAACCAGCGTAAAGCGACGATCGAATTTGAGAACGGAGAAGAAGAAGGAAGGAAAGAGATAGAAGGAAAGGTAAGCATACAGTTTACTGGCAGAGGCGTCATCGTTGGTGGCTTGAACAGCTGCGGTGGTGCTGGTTGAATCGGCGACGGGCTTGGACTTGGACATTGTAGTTTTGCTGTGCGCCTAACGAAAATGACACAGAGAGGAGGGAAAGAGAACAGTATTCTTTCCGTCGACAATAACGAAAGGAACTGAGATGGCAATTCCGAAATTAATGGATGGTCTGAGGTTCTGGTTCGAATGGGCTCCCGCTGAACGATCAATATCTGGGCCAAATACTCCGCCCAAAACTCAACTATCTGGGCCTTTTGTAGACCGGATGATGGCAAGGTGTAGGAGATGCTATGCATAATTTTTGGGTAAGTGATCATATTCATAGATATGATATGACTGTCATGACTCGTGATCTAAAAAAAATGCTCTGTGGCGATTGGTTTTGCCACCAAGATCACAAAACTTCTGTTCTTGTAGTCGCCGTTTTCTCGGTACCTGATCTTTCGACTCCATGATCTAGTTTTAGATTATGGGAGTCGTTGTCGTCACAAGAATCCCCTCTGCTTCGCACTTACAATTGGCGATATATATGGGTGGTTGTTTTTCAAAAAGATAGGTTTATAAATGGGGGTATTGTTCAGTTTCGTTCTGGATTTTCCTTGTTTCAACTCCTATGTCTAGTTTTCTTCTACAGTCTCTTGATTGTTCTGGTTTGGTTCTTCAATTAGGTTTCCCGTCAGTCCATTCAACATCTGGTTGTCAGCATGGATCCAATGGATATAGATCAGGTGGTCAATTTTGAAGATTCGGATGTTGACATTGGTCCCGTTCAGGCGCAGATAAGTTTGGTGGGGCGTCTGTTTGCGTTGCGTCCCTTGTTCCGCCTAACTATGGATAGCGTGGCTAATGGAATGTGGGGTACACCGACATGTCCGATTATTGTGCATTAAGATGAGAATGGTCTGTGGAGGTTCATTGTGGTGGATAATCAGGGCCGGGTACGAATTGTTCGACGCTCCTCGTGGACGGTTGTGCTGCATCTGATACCTTGGGCGCCGATTACTCCTACTCTGGTAAGGAAGCTTGCTCGTGTCCCTTTCATTGTTTACAAGTCAAGAACTCCTCCACATATGTGTACTTTGAATCTGGGTCGGCGATTTGCTAATCATATGGATGGCGACGTTGAGGCCCGAGAGATTGGTCTGTTTGCGAGTAACCCTGGTCAAAGCGATGTTTTTGTTAAAGCCACGGTTTTCATTGATGCTGAAGCTCCACTCCGTTCGAGGTTATTTGGGCAAAATGAGAATAGGAGAGGCTTATGGGAGAAACTAGATTATAAGTATATGCCCTGTTCTGTTTCCATTTTGGTTGCCTTGGTCATGGAAAACCTCAGTGTAACTTTCCTCCGCCCCCTCCTGGTTCTGAAGTTTACGACGCGTCAATGATTCTGGTCCAATTGTACACATTTTACCCCCGTTTTCCTTAGGCGTTTGATACATTTATACTCCGTGAGGTGTGGTTTTACGCTAGATTGCGTCTTGTTTTAGTATGTTTCAGATTCTAGCAGGTGGAACTGACCCCGGAATCGAAAGTGGGACGGAAATGAGCGAAAATGAGTCGAAGGGTGGAGGCAGCTGTGGATCACGACCAATGATGATTTTTCAAGATCTTAGGATAGTGAAAAGGGCTCCCAGACAGTGAAGTGCCAAGGGGCCAGAAGTAGTTGCACACCTCGCGAGTTACCAGCCAGTTCACGGTCGTAAGACCGTGAACCAAAGCCCCAGACCGTGAACAGACTAAATAAAACAACACAGATCTGCTCGACGTCACGGTCCAGGAGGAATGTTCACGACCGTGAACTGGGACCGTGAAGTGACCACGACCTGGGTATAAAAGGAGGGCTGAGCTGAAGGAAAAAAGGGGGGAGACCTAGTGTGAGAAACTTCTTCTTCAGATTTCTAGTACGAGAAAGTGACGAACCAAAGAAGAGAAGAAGTTAGGGTTTCATCTTCAAGCATGGTTTTGGGATTTCCTTCTGATTCGGGCCTAAATGTACATGTCTTACCCCCGTTTTCCTTAGCCGTTTGTGGCAACTTCGCTCCTAAAAGGTTGCTTTTACGCTAGGTTTCTCGTGTTTTAGTTTGTTTCAGGATTTAATAGGTGAAACCAGCCTCGGAGTCGAAAGTTGGACGAAAAGGATCGAAAACCGGGAGAATAGGTGAAAAATGGTGAGTTCACGGTCAATGCAGTCAAAATCGCGCTTTAAAACTTAAAAACTTACGATTTTACGCTTCTAGGTCACCAAAACGCTTTCGTTTCTATATAAAATCTTTATTGTATAAAATCAGACTAAATTGCGTTTTAAAGTTTAAATGCTTACGCTTTTACGCTTCTAGCTCACCAAAACGCTTTACGTTTTTACGCTTTTAGTTCACTAAATTGGTATTCTTTTCATGAAATTAATTATAAAAAATATATTTTAAAGGCAACTCACCAACAATATGATATATTTGATATTAAAAGATTGCAGGTCTTGGATGCATTCCAGCTTCAATAGAGTAATCTAGTTGACGAGTTCCCAAATTCATTAGCATAGAGGGGGCGGTGGCTTATTGTTAATATATATGTTTATGAACTTATTGTTAAGATGCTATGAGTTGTTGTACTTTAGACATGAATTGCAGGTATTTATTAACTAATCTAAATTCTGTGCACTCATATTTTACATAGTATATGTCGTACTTAAAATATTTTTAGCTATTTTACACTATCGTAAAAAACTTATGTTTTTACGCTTTGATTCTACGTTTTACGATTTTACCCCTTTTCGCTTTTAGTTAGAATCGCGATTTTAACCGCATTGTTCACGGTTTTTCTTGGCTGTTCACGGTTTTGTATGACCGTGAAGAAGAGCCATTGGCCGTGAACTTTGAGGAGTCTAGAGCCAAAATGCAAGTTACTGACGTCAATTGTGTTCACGGTCGCTAAGACCGTGAACAGGAGCTGTGGCTGTGAACCAATGGAAGCAAAGCGGTGCATTTCGGCGCCCATCTTCAGTTCACGGACGCGTTTCAGAGTTCACGGTCGTGAACTGAGCTCTTCACTATTTAAAAGCTGAGTTGAAAGGAGGAGAGAAGAGAGAGCCCATTTGAGTGAGAAAGCCTTCTTCTGATTTCTAGAGAGAGAAACACGAACCAAAGAAGGAGGCTAGGGTTTTGCTCCAAGGTGGATTTTGGGAAGATTTTCTCCAAGGAAAGTTCAACACAAGGGACAAGAAGATTGGAAGCCTCCTCCAAGATGGTTTCTACCCCTTCTCCTTGTGTTTCTCCCATTTATAGCATGGAGTAGAATTCTTTTGACTTGGGTGTTGTGAAACCCTGACTCTACCATGTAGTTTTCTTCTATGTGAATTGGATGATTGGGGTATTGTTTAATTCAAATGTTTGAGGTATTATTCATCTTGATTGTGCATGTTTGTGCTTAGCATCCTTAGGTTTGTTCATGATTGGTGCTTAGCAACCTAAGGATTGTGCATGTCTATGCTTAGCAATCTAATTAGCCACTTAACCTAGTCTAGAGAGGGAAACCCTCCTTCTAAGGGATTCTCAATTGAGTTGGTATCCCTAGGGCTTTTAAGTCTTCTAACTAGGTTAATTTAGGGCAAACTTCAATATTGGATTAAGCAATTTGGTTAAGCGCGATTAAGCCATCCAACCCTTGGGTTGAGTGAGGGAGTAAGTCAACCATTGATTGCCTAAACAGAGAGGGCCTAGTGACAGCCTATAATGCATGCCTCGATTTAGAAATCATGAGCGTGGTCTACGACCATATTTGCGTCCCTTAGCGGTTAGCGATCACCTTGCCCATAGCAATCATTTCGGTTCACATAGCATGGTAGTAGTTAGGGGGAAGCGACACACGAGTGATCCTTCCACAAAAGAGCTTTCAAAACCATTCACCTTTGTATTGTTTTAGTTTAATTAGAAAACTTTTCAACCAAAACTTTATTGCTAGATAATGATTCAAATGACTGAAGTAGGGGTAGACTGACCGGCCCGGGTTGATATTTAAACATACTTATCCTGTACTGCACCCGACTAAGGTTTATACTTGGACCTTAGGCGGGCAATTATTGTGGCATTCGGGACGAGTCACCTTCCCCAAAGGAGGATCTCTTCAACACAAGGAGCAAGGATAGCATCTCCATGATGGTTTCCCTTCTCCTAGCATGGACTAGTCCCTTATTTCACTTGGGTGTTTGTAAACCCTGTCTACAATTATGTGAATATTTGTATGGGTTGAATGATTTGTGTGAGGGTGTGTTTTAATACAATGTGATGAGGTATTTTCATGAAGATTGATTTTGTTTGTGCATTTCAATGTCTTATGCTATCTTAACCTAGGTAGAGGGAAATCCCCTTCTTTTGAAGAGCTTGTAAAAGCTGGATTTCCTTGGGCAATCTTTGCCTCCTGCTTGGATTAAACTATTGCAAACCTCTTAATTCGTATTAGCACCTAGGGTTGGTTGTAGTTTGTTGTCTAAACTCCGATTCGAGGGTGAAGTCTGGGTAATCCTTAGTCAATAGGTCAAGAGAGCTACTTTGGAAACTTGAATTGAATCCCCTTAACCTATTAACAGAGAGAGTGGCATGTGTTCACTTGTTACACTTCCCTACGGGTTACAACCGCCTTACCACACGTTTACATTCGACCCGACAAGTCATAATTGCTAGCTAGGGGGAGCAACACCCAGGTGAAGCCTTCTCAATTAGTGTCAAATCCATTTAATTTTACAAATGTTTTAGTTATAGATCGTTGTTCTCACCAAAAAACAATCGCTAGATAATGTTTCAACAAACGAAGTAGGGGTACATGGTCCGGCCCGAGTTGATATTTAAACATACTTGCCTTATATGGCACCCGATTAAGGTTTTATACTGGCCTTAATTGGGGTTTTTATTGTGATATTCGGGACAAGTCAAGTTTTTGGGGCCGTCGCCGGGGAACCTTTGGTCCGTTATTTCGAAAAGATTGTTTGGTGTTAATCTAGCTTTACTGTTTGCTTTTGTGTGTGTGAATCTTACTTGTGTTAGCCATGTTGTGGTTCTTTTGAGTGTGTGCATGAGGGTGTATGACCCAGAGTAATCCGACACCTTTAGCGCCACTAGACCAGAAT